CCCCCCCCCCCGGGTGGGGTGGGGGGAGACAGGGAAGAAGATGAAAACCTATGATCAAGGCGCATGATGACCTATTATTAGCGTTACTGAGAAATCTTGACTAATTGTCAATGACAGTTCTATCTTTCTGTGTAAATCTATTTGCTTATAACTAAGTGCACAACCAGTTATTAACGTTACTGAGAAATCTAGTGTAATTGAAGATAATAGTTCTTATCTGCCCGGATAATTCTACTTGCTAATAGTCTAATATACCTTCAGCCGCTCAGAACATCGTCTGCTTCTTCGGTCTGATAATGCGGATAGCCGACTCACTCCCCTTGGTCGTGAAATCGGTTTAATAGACGATAGAAGGTGGACAATGTACCAGGACAAGCAAGCTCGTATTTCAGAGGAGAAAAAGCGGTTGAAAACGGTTAGAACTTCAGGTCAGCATTGTTCGTTGGGGACATAATATTGTGATAACCTAATTGCTTGTGCTTGTACATAAATCATAATTCTAGAGGTAAATATCTGAAGTCTTTTGCTCATTTGAATTTCCTGCCAAACTAAATGCCTGTTTCATTTGCTTCCAGGTGGAGAGTTGGCTGCTGAAATTACTCTACTCTCTGGTCAGCCAGTAAGGGATTCATCCACATTAGAGAGCCTGCTTAAGAAACCGCATATCCAATATGAAGTTTTTGATAAGCATGGGTTTGGAAATCCCACCCTGTCCAGGATGGAGAAACAGTGTGTAGAGATTGATATCAAATACGAAGGCTTCATTGTGCGCCAGCAGAGCCAACTCCAACAGGTAAACAATGATGCACTTTGGCTCTATTTATTGTATCTGCAAGCACTCGATGGTATGTTGAACCTCCATTGCTCCGCTTTCAAAAGCCTCTATATCTCTAATGAATCGGTATCTCATATCTTTGCGGTGTTGATTTTCTGCTTGTAGATGGTTCATCAACAGCACAAACCAATTCCCGAGGACATAGATTATTATGCGATGACAACTTTGTCACTCGAAGCACGTGAAAAACTCTCAAAGGTATTTTCTGCCTCATTTGCATAGCACTGTAGTCTTCTTGTGTGTGCAAATTTTTAGTTATTTACCTGATACTTTTTACAAGCTCACTGGTTTAGATCTTTCTGCAAAGATGACATATTGTGCCTAAATACTCTCTATTAAAATTTCTATGATACAATTTCTATTTTTAGATGTTCTGAAATGTTTGATACCATCCACCAATAACATAATTGGATACAACTTCCACAGTTCAATGACTCCTTCAATTGGTGAAAAAAAGTGAACATAAGGAATAGAGATTGTTTACCCCCAAGATTGGGGAATTGTCATGATAGCTTTGTGAGAATGCACGGGAGAAAATATGATATGATTCTCATACGTTAACAATGATACAATGATCCCTATATATATAATACATGGCATACTCCTAATACATCCGATTAGGGTTATTTACTACTATTTACATAACTATTCTAACACTCCCCTCAAGCTAGTGCATATAGATTATATGTACCGAGCTTGTTACATATGTAGTTAATACAAGGACCGGTAAAGGACTTGGTGAAAATATCTTCAAGCTGATCATTCGACTTCACAAACTTTGTAGTAATATCTCCCGAAAGTATCTTTTCTCTGACAAAGTGATAGTCAATCTCAATGTGTTTAGTTCTCTCATGGAACACTGGATTTGACGCAATATGAAGAGCAGCTTGATTATCACACACAAGTCCCATCTGACTAATCTCACCAAATTTCAACTCCTTAAGCAACTGTTTGATCCAAATTAGCTCACATGTCGCCATAGCCATTGCTCGATATTCTGCTTCTGCACTAGACCGAGCAACCACATTCTGTTTCTTGCTCTTCCAAGACACCAAATTTCCTCCCACTAAGACACAATATCCAAACATAGAACGTCTATCAGAAGGTGATCCTGCCCCATCAGCATTTGAGTATCCAACGATCTGCTCATAGCCTCGATCCTCAAACAATAAACCTTTGCTTGGAGCTGATTTTATATACCGAAGAATGCGAACAACTGCATCCCAATGACTATCACACGGAGAATCCATAAACTGACTCACAACACTCACAGAAAAGGAAATGTTAGGTCTTGTCACTGTAAGGTAATTTAGTTTACCAATCAACCGCCTATATCTTGCAGGATCGCTAAGAGGCTACCCCTGTCCTGGCAGAAGTTTAGAATTTGGATCCATCGGAGTGTCAATAGGTCTACAACCTGTCATTCCCGTCTCCTCAAGAATATCTAAGGCATACTTCCGTTGTGAGATCACAATACCTGAGCTAGACTCAGCGACCTCAATACCCAGAAAATACTTTAGTTTTCCCAGATCCTTAGTCTGAAAGTGTTGAAAGAGATGTTACTTCAATTTAGTAATACCATCCTAGNTCTTAATGTCTAGCTGATAGAGAGGCCAATGGCGAACAACAACCATGGATAGAAAAAGGCGGACTGATGCTATCTTAGCCACGGGAGAGAAGGTATCATTGTAATCGAGTCCAAATATTTGAGTATATCCCTTGGCAACAAGACGGGCCTTAAGACGATCAACCTTACCATCCGGACCAACCTTGACTGCATACACCCAACGACAACCAACAGTAGATTTACCTGAAAGAAGAGGAACGAGCTCCCAAGTACCACTCGTATGTAAAGCAGACATCTCGTCAATCATAGCCTGTCGCCATCCTGGATGAGACAATGCTTCACCTATAGACTTGGGGATGGAAACAAAGGACAAAGAAGATATAAAAGTATAATACGGTGATGACAGACGATGATAACTTAAATCGACATAATGAGGATTGAGATTAAGTGTGGTTCGTATACCTTTTCGAAGTGCAATCGGTGTACTAGGAAGAGACAAGTCCGCAGTAGGAGCAGGATCAGGTGCAGGACATGAATCAGCTGGGCCTGATGCTTGGAGCGGACGACGATGATAAGTCAAGAGTGGTGGTCCTGCGGCTAGGGATCTAGGAAGAGCCACACTAGACTCCCCAACGGTTGGAATGAGTAAGACTTCTGTGGCGGAAGGTGAAAGAGGAGCTATAGTGAACTCTTCAGAGATCAGTATAGGTAAGATCTCAGATATATCGAGGTGGTCAGAAGAGGTAAAGAAAGGTTTAGACTCAAAAAATGTGACGTCAGCTGACATAAAGTACCTACGAAGATCAGGTGAGTAACAACGATATCCCTTCTGAACATGAGAATAACCAAGGAAGATACACTTGAGAGCACGGGGAGCTAACTTATCTTTCCCAGGGGCTAAGTTATGAACGAAACAAGTGCTCCCAAAAATACGAGGGGGAAGGGAGTATAAGGGTGACTGGGGAAACAATACTGAATACGGAATCTGATTCTGGATGGGAGATGAAGGCATCCGATTGACCAAATAACAAGATGTGAGAACTGTATCGCCCCAAAAACGCAACGGAACATGAGATTCAATGAGAAGTGTGCGACCAGTCTCAATGAGGTGCCTATTCTTTCTCTGCAACCCCATTTTGCTGAGGGGTATAAGGACAAGAGGTCTGATGAATAATTCCTTGAGAAGTCATAAACTGCTGAAATTGACAGGATAAATATTTTAAGGCATTATCACTGCGAAAAGTGCGAATAGAAACACCAAATTGATTTTTGATTTCAGCACAAAAATTCTGGAATATAGAAAACAACTCAAAACTATCTTTCATTAAGAAAAGTCAAGTACATCTTGAATAATCATCAATGAAACTAACAAAATAACGAAATCCTAAGGTTGAACTGACTCTACTAGGACCCCATATATCATAATGAACTAAAGCAAAAATAGACTCTGCATGACTCTCAATACTACGAGGAAAGGAGGCTCGGGTATGTTTCCCGAGCTGACACGACTCACAATCTAATCTAGATAAACTAGACAAACTAGTCACCATCTTCTGAAGCTTGAATAAACTTGGATGTCCTAAACGTCTGTGAATTAGGTCTGGAGGATCTGTAACTAGACATGCCTTGGAGGAATTGAGTAAGTTAAGGTAGTAAAAGCTTTCTGATTCAAGCCATGTTCCATTCATCTGTCCCGTACTGCGGTCCTGCATGATAAAAGAATCACCAATAAAATATATACCACAATGGAGGGTATGAGTCAAACGACTAACAGGTGCAAAACTAAAAGGATAGCCAGGGACATAAAGAATGGAATCTAGAGTGACAGAGGGTAGGGGGTTAGCTTGTCCAACTCCTTTTGCTTTAGTTTGAGACCCATTGGCTAAAGTAACAGTGGGAAGAGACTGTGAATACATAATATTTGACAAAAGGGATTTATTATTAGAGATATGATCAGAGGCGCTTGAGTCCACGACCCATGGTCCAAGAGTACTAGACTGGGAAATACAAGCAAAAGAATTACCAGCAACAGAAGTATCAGTCTGAGCAACAGAGGCTACTTGTGGAGATGTCTGCTTACTTGCTCGACACTGAAGGAACTCATTATATTCCCCTTCAGATAAAGAAAATTCCTTGTTACCTGTAGTCTCGGTCTGAGCAACATAAGCATTATTGGGTGGGAGACCATGTAAATAATAACACACGTCACGAGTGTGTCCAAGTTTATGACAATAAGAGCACTTGGGTCTAGATCTTCCAAAATGACCTCCTCCTCGTCTATTCTCCACAGTATGAGATGCTCGATTGTCCATTGTCGGGGATGTGAGAACAGACGAGTCAAGTGTCTGTGATGAGATCACTGAGTGACTTGGTGCTGCAGCAAGGCGAAGTAATCGAGAGAATAATTCATCAACTGTGAGGATAGTCGGACTAGCCAAAATCTGATCACGTACTGATTCAAGATTATTAGGAAGCCCAGCAAGAGTAAGAACTAGAAACATCTTTTTTCGCTACTCTTGCTGCTTTTCAACACTAGCAGAAACTGGCATCAACTTCTCAAATTCCTCCATGACTGTCTGTACTTGTCCCAAGTAAGTAGACATATCTAATTCATGTTTCTTTAAATTTGTCATCCGCGATATCACATTATAGAAACGAGATATGTCATTAGTGTATAAAGTGCGAGCCTTTTACCAAACCAAATAACATGTCTGGAATGGACGAAACAACGACATCAACTTGGAATTAATAGATCGCCACAGAATACTGCATAATTGAGCATCGATCTTCTCCCAAAGTGCTTTGGCCTTTTCATCTCCTTCGTTCGATTTCGTGATTAGATGATCTTGAACACCTTGACCTTTACACCACAACTCGACGGACGAAGCCCGAGCTAAATAGTTTGAACTTCCCATTAAAGGTTATGAGGTAATCATAACACCAGAACTGCCAGAACTCGGGTTTTTAGGCCCGAAAGCATCGACTCCCCAAGACATCGTTGGATTGAAGTGAGGTCTATAAAATTATCACCAAATAACAGAAAGAATCAATTGAAAACTCGCTGAAACAGACGAAGGAGACACTGTTTTTGCTAGAAAAAATCAGTGTAGTCGCCGGAAAAACTCAAAGTGGTCAGAATCAAACGAAAACAGTATGTGTGGGGTCGGAATGGTAGACGACCCAACTGTTCTGAAAAAACTTTTTTAAAAAATGGCCGGAGGATGCTGCACGCGCCGGCGCGTGAGCTTCTGGTGGCGCGTGGGGAGGCTTCTGCCGGAGATTTTTCTGGGGTTTGGTCGCCGGACAGTGGTGACTCTTGTGGTGGTGTTGGATTTTGCACAACACTGACAGAGACAACGCAGACGCAAACATCCTTGAAAAAGTCGCCGGAAAAAGGCTTTCGGTGACTGTTTTCTCTTCCCGGAATCGCTGGAATTTATGCACAGCGATAAATTTCTCACAATTGCTCTGATACCATGTGAGAATGCATGGGAGAAAATATGATATTATTCTCATATGTTAACAATGATACAATGAGCCCTATATATATATAATATATGTCATATGAGATTAGAGTTATTTACTACTATTTACATAACTATTCTAACAAGCCTGAAGCTGGTTCAAAAGATCACTGTATGGCGCTTTTACTGTCTATTTCCATATATGTATTTCCACAACGGGAGGTTGAAAGAAAAAATGAGGGGATGATTAGGAAGGCCAAGATACACAAAGGATTAGTAATTTAGAAACTGATGTTTTCTCACTCAAGTTAACTTGTCACTTGTTTTTCTAACATTTTCATCATTTATTATTGATAAAAGTCAAACTAATATTGGATGCACCTATTCCAGGTGCATAATTGAGGCAATGGTATTAAGTACTTGGTATAAATTTAATTGTTCTGGTAATGTTGGCAAAGATGATGTCATGATCCTCCTTTCTTTCTTCTCTTAGTTGATTGGCGTCCCTGTACTTTGTCTTGACAAAGAGAGAGATCTTGGTTGTAGGACTGGGTCTTTTGACAGTTGCCTCACATTTAACATGATTGTATCTTCTTTATGCATGCAGGTTAGGCCGCAAACAATTGGGCAAGCAAGTAGAGTTGGTGGAGTTAATCCTGCGGACATTACAGCACTCCTCATTATTCTTGAATCTAACAGGAGGAAAGCCCAAGAGCTGAGTAAACAACAAGCAGTACTTTCGTGAAGGATACCGATGAACAACTTCCTTAAAAGTTCTCTTCAAAAGACAATCCTCTCTTAAAACCAGCACCCATCCTTCTCTGCGTCATCTTTAGATCAATGAAATTCATCTCCTTATTTAACCTGCTGGATATCCTCTAACGAGGGACCAATTGACATAGCGGATGCATGAGTCTTCCTTTTTTCAGCTGAGTTTTTGTAGAGTGAAAACAATACCGAAGGTATATCTGCATGAGTTATAAGATCAAAAGCATGTGGA